TTTTTTATCTCAAAAACTGCGACTTTGACTGATTTTGATGTTATTACAAATTTTGTTGCAAATATTATTCCTAATCTTAAATTGAAAACCGCGTTTCGCTACCTACTGTAATTTTGGAGTTACGATTTTTTTAAATTTTTAACCCCTTCCCATACGCCCTTACCAACCACCCATTCCCCACCAAAAACTAATGGCCAGATTCTCGGGTACCACAGTATTTCTGTGCCAAATTTGGTTAAAAACGATTTAGCGGTTTTTGAGTTATCGTCTTACAGACAGACAGACAGACGGACAGACGGACAGACGGACAGACGGACAGACGGACAGACGGACAGACGGACAGACGGACAGACGGACAGACGGACAGACGGACAGACACCATAAAAATATTTTGTATTTAGGTCATTTATGACCCAAATAACTCATTTTGAGTGAAATTAAAAAAACTTTTTTTTTGCCGATCTTAATAGCCTACCATACCTGTTGGGATGGTCGGCTAAAAATAATTATTCTAAAAGTGTTATTACAGTTGAGGGTTGGAACCTTTGGTATTACACAGCAAAATAAAACACTAAATCACCACAATACACCAAAAAACTTTTACTTTTACACTGGACGCGCGTTTCGCTAACCATGTTAGCATCATCAGCAGATGATTATAAACTAAAACTGAGTTTAGAAAATAGTTTTAGTTTATAATCATCTGCTGATGATGCTAACATGGTTAGCGAAACGCGCGTCCAGTGTAAAAGTAGAAGTTTTTTGGTGTATTGTGGTGATTTAGTGTTTTATTTTGCTAAAAGTATTAGGAAATATGATTTGTTAAAAAATATTATTGAAGCTAATAAAACTTTTTAGATGAGTTCAAGTACGGTAGCGAGCATAGTTTTATACACCATGACTGGGCTATTTCTTTTTTCTTTCACTAGTTGATTAAAAAAAGTATACCATTAATATTGCAAATTATATTTTATCCTCTCATAGTATATTATGTCTATTTAATTTTTTGATCGTATGGGCACTTTGTTTACTCACTTGTTCCGTTGAACTGCTTGAATCCATTTTTGCTCCTGACCAAATTGGTGCTCAAAGCTGTGAAGCTATAAAATGCTGATTCGGGAGAGTTGAATATCCGGGAGAGCTGAGTTATTAAATGTTCTTGGCACATAACAACACACTCTCCTTGACGCGTTAACATTTTTTCAGCAATTTTATTAACATTTGAAATTGTCACAACATAGCGCGACGCTCAGTTCGACTTCTTTTTCACTTAATGTTTACTACCCGAAACAGCGTTACATCACACAAACCTCGTGTTTTATAATTTCAATAACTGCATTAGCAAAAACTAAACTACTTAGGTATTATAAGCCACGATTTCAATATTATTTTAGTGCCATCAACACGAAGTGTAATCGGGACGGCTTGAAATACATAGTGAAAACTTCTGATTTCTGCGTTGTATAGAGCGTTGCGGTCGGATTTTTTTAAATCAGCTTAAATGCATCAAGCCTATAGAGTATAAAATGCAGCGTAATATGACATTACGAAAATTCACCAAAGCCATCTCGTTACATTGAAAAATAATATCAAAAGGTAAATGTCTATACACGGTGTTGTGCCATCAAAACATGTGCCATCTCTCGTGGGGAGATTCCTCACGTAAAAATAAGATTATATAGGTCCGATTCTGCTTTATTTCGTAGCTACATGGTGATAAAATCTTAATAATTTTTAAATTTATTATAATTTTTTTGAAAGTACTTTAGGGATTAGAATGAAATAATGAGGGTTAAAGTTACTATAAGTGCTACATATTTTAATGCTGAAAAGTGTGGAAACATTCATCAGCGACGTGCATGTGGATTATTACTGGAATATTTTTTTATAAAAAAAACATGTGCACCACTGACTGTTTTTCTTCTGATTTCAAAATTGTGTAGACCGTTTAATGCCAATTAAAAGTTATCTCGAGATATTTTGTCGAATTCGGTCTCCTTGATGTGATAAACGCAATTTTATTATCCACCAATTAATAAAATTAAAATTCTTAAATTATATATTTTACCTAATTTATTATTAAATATTATGTATTACTATTAGTTATTATTACTATTAGTCCAACATACAGCTATTTCAAATAAAAAAATAATGGTATTTAAGATAATTACAAAAAAACTAATTTTAAAAAGTTTTAACATCCTGTAACTCTAAAACTATGCATTTTCATACCCATGTTTATAGGAACTTTTTTTCATATTTTTTGATGAGGAATCAATGAGTACTTATTTAAAACTTTCGCAAGTTAATGATATTAAAATATTTTATCTACAACCGTTTAGTTATAACGTTTTTACATCACTATATTTTTAGTACTTTAGTTACGTCATAATACAACTAGTGGTGTTATGAATCTATAACACAACTATCGTAGTTGCTATAATAATGAAAACAACTACGAACATCTAAATATAACTACCGGGCGTACAATTAGGGTCACCTTCAAATTTGCGATTATTTTTGAAATTTTCGGGTTTTAGAGATTTTTACGAAGTATGGCATAGTTTACTAACATAATTCAATGATTTTATCTTGATTTCGCTTGAATAAAAAAAGGTTGTTATGGTTTTGTTAACGGTTTATTGAAATAATGCATAGTTCATAAATTAAAGAAAAAACATCTCATGGTTTCAATACCGAGTATTTCCTCCTCGAGCTGTGACAACCACTTGTAGACGATGCGGCATGCTTTGGATAAGGTTCTGGATTACACCCTGCGTAAGATTCTCCCATCCCTGCACCAGTACATTACGAAGCTCTTGAGAGTTTCTGGGGGCCGGTACATGTGTCCGTAAACGTCTCTTCATCTCATCTCAAACATGCTGGTGGCCAAATAAATCGCGTGATTTGAACCTCATCGAAATACGTAGCAGTCATCCTAGCAGTGTGGGGCCGTGCATTAAACTGCATAAATGTTGCGTTTTCCCCAAGAAAAACCATTAATGGCACAACATGGTCTTCTAGGAGTTCGGTGATGTACCTATGCGCATTCAAAGTTCCATTCAAGATGAACACTAACTCCGTGCGAGCCTGAAAGGATATGCCTCCCCATGCCATAACTGAGCCTCCTCCAGATGCAAGTCGTTCGGCTATACATACTCCAGCATATCGTTCGCCTTGTCGTCGCCATACTCTCACACGTCTGTCTGAACCTGCCAGACAAAATCGCGCCTCATCGGAGAACAATACGCGACTCCAATCTTCTATTGTCCAAGCCAAGTGCTCTCGTGCAAAAGTCAATCTTGCAATTCGGTGTTCACGGGAAAGGGGCGGTCCGGTAGCAATGGTACGAGAGGATAATCCAGCAGCATGAGGTCGCCTCCTAACTGTCCACTCACTTATGTTTACATTTCTAACTTCTTGCAAATGATTTCGTAGGGAAACTGATGTACTCGTTCGGTTTCTTAACGCATTAGTTATGAGAAAGCGATCATCTTTAACTGTCGTACTCCTTCCTCGTCCCGAACCAGGTCTTCGGGTGAGCAGACCAGTCTCTTCGTACCGTTGAGACACTCGTTGCACACTGGAAAGACTCACACCCAGGTTTCTTGCAGTTTCACGCTGTCCATGGCCTTCTTCTAGACTCGCTACAATTCGTGCCGCAACAACAGGATTTATGGCCATTTTACTTAACACAATATCAATAGTAACGCAAACAATCCGCAACTGAGAGATTAACCATACATGGAATGCAGAAATACGCTGATAATGGGATTAAGGAATTTCGGAGAGGGACCCTTTTTTTATCAAACCTTTGAAAAAAAACATAATAACTTTTTTTTATCCAAGCGAAATCACGATAAAATCATTGAATGATGTGAGTAAACTATGCCATACTTCGTAAAAATCTCTAAAACCCGAAAATTTCGAAAATAATCGCAAATTTGGAGGTGACCCTAATTTTATGCCCGGCAGTGTATTAACTTTTCCGGCAATAATGATTCCGTGGCACGTACTGCGGCAAGTTCTACATCAGCAAGTCTACAAGGGAGACTTTCGGAATCGCTCATCGTAATTTTTAAAATGATTTTTCTGGGCAAAAAGTGCTCGCGTTTACTTGACAGGGCAAACTGACTTTTCAGCATAAATGTGACAAATGTCATAGTTAAAGGTGTTAAAGGTGGGCGACTAATAAACGAAAATTAAAACAGCATTTTCTTATTTTTCGGTTGTAGATAAAACGTTGTACATGCCACGTGCGTTTAAACATGATTACAACACTAGTGTGATTAGAACGACTCGGTCTACGACCTCATCGTTCTAATCGTTCACACTCGTTGTAATCATGTTTATAAACACACTTGTACTGTAAATAACTATTAAAGGTTGCTATTTGACTTGGATCAAGGCAAATTAATAAAATTGCATTTATCTCATCAGGGAAGCCGAAATCGACAGAACATCAAGAGACAACTTTTAAAATTACTTACACTATAAATAAGAGAAAGAAAAGTCAGTGGCGTACATGCTTTTTTTAGAAAAGTATTCCAATGATAACCCATATGCACGTCCCTGGTGAATATGTCGACACTTTTTTAACTTTAATAGTAACTTTGTCGCATTTATAGTAACTTTTATGAAATTCACTTAAAATTAAATAGGTCTCAATCTACTTTTTTTATCTGCTCCTTCCTATTTTTTTTTATTCAAAGGATTAGCCTATCATAAGTATAGCATTAATAAGATATAAAATAGACTAGAAAACAAGAGAAACCTAAGCGTTTTTGAATGGTTAATAAGATGGTTAATATAGGAAAAAAACGTAATATAGTGATTCATGCAAATCCAAACTGGAAGCCTTCAATTTGCTAATTACACTTATATACGCTTAGTCATAAATAGAAAAATATGTATCTCTCGTACAATAAGTATTGTTTTTGGTGGTGTTAGGTAGAGCTGAAAATATGTTCCATTTTTAATTGTTAGATATAATTGACATTGACACACTAAATGTCTACTGAAATGATAAATTTTACGGTTTAAAATGGCACTGGGAAAAATTCAAAATTTTAAGTACTTACTATTTGGAAATGTTTTTAATTCAAACTTAAGTGAAACCAATGGGAAACAAAACAGAAATTATGCGGATATATGTAAGAACAAAGAAAGTTCAAAACATGGAGAAAATTTAGCTGTGGTGCTTCACGGAATAAATGATTTAAAAATAGAAAAGAGACCCATACCAAAATTAAAACCTAATCAGGTAGTTTCAACAACTTATATTGAAATAACATGAATGTATAGATACTAAGAAATAATTAATAATTCGTTTAATTTGATTAGTGCATCTTTATCAACCGGGAGATTAGACTATTGTGAAAAAAAATCCATTATAATGTTCAAATTTGATAGGATTTCTTTACATTTACCTACTAATACACGAATTTGTAAAAATCTATCTAAAATATATATACAAGATGTGTCAAAAATCATGTGCCATATACCGTGAGAAGATTCCTCATGTAAAAATAAGACTTATTTTTCATATCAACATAGGTCCGATTCTGCTTTGTTCCGTGGATACAGATATGAAAAAAAGTTCCTATCAACATGGATATGGAAATGCATATTTTAAAAATTATAGGATATTGTGTTTATCTCATCAAGGAGACCGAAATCGATAAAATAATAAGATTCAACATTTATTTGCGGCACATTTTTTTTTTCGAAAAATATTATAATGATAATCCATAATATGCACGTCCTTGATGAATCTATCGACACTTTTTAGCATTAAAATATAATATACTATATATAGCACTTATAATAACTCTTACCTACATTACATTAAAGATGGTAAAGATCCTTTGCTATCAGCAAGTTACCGACCCATCAGCCTCACCTGTTGTATGGGGAAGATTTTTGAACGAATAATAAGCTGTCGTTTAACCTGGTTATTAGAACATCGAAATCTCATTGATAATTGCCAATCAGGTTTCAGAAAGGGAAGATGAACGTTAGATAATTTAATTTTTCTCGAAAATGAAGTAGCCAAATCATTTGGTGAACGAAATCATTCAACAACTGTATTCTTTGACATAGAAAAGGCATTTGATATGACCTGGAGATTTGGAATTATGAGTAAGATAGACAAATGGGGTTTTCGTGGAAACTTACCTATACTTATCAGATCATTTTTAACTGGAAGGACTTTTAAGGTACGTCTGTAGTGTTCTCTCTACAACAAAGGCATTGGAAAATGGTGTCTCCCAGGGATCAACACTCAGCAATAATCTGTTTCTAATAGCAATCAATGATCTAGTCGAAGGAATGAATAAAAATGTTAAAAAATGTATATATGTTGATGATCTTGTTATAACATGTGCCACAAAAACTGTTGGAGAAAGCAGGAGATATCTACAAGATGCCATAAACCAAGTTGTAAAAAATGCTAATGTTAATGGCTTTAAATTATCCAAGCAAAAAACCCATGTGATGCATTTCTGCAAATTGCGTCGGCCCCACTATCGTCCACTACTTTTTATGGACAATTGTTCTCTTGAACTTAAAACTGAAACTAAATTTCTAGGCTTAATATTTGATGAAAAACTTACGTGGCAATCACATATAAATTTTTTAGTGTTACGGTGCAAGAAGGTTCTAAATCTTATTAAGTGTGGTATGGGAGAGACAACATGGGGGCAAGTACGGAAATACTTACCCAGCTCTATAAAACCTTGGTTCGTTCAAAGATAGATTATGGCTCGGTGATATACTCTACTGCTTGCAAATCAACCTCACAGCTCCTGGACCGCGTGCAAAATGCATGTTTAAGGCAAGCTCTTGGAGCTTTTTACACAAGCTCCGCAACTAGCCTATGTGCTGAAATGGGAATAGAGCCCCTTAGATACAGAAGGAGGAAGCTAGCGCAATCCTACCTCACTTCGGCATTAGCAAATCCTAGCCGTATAGTGAGAGAAACAATTCTATCCCGTCATATGGAAGAACATCTGCCTATGATAATCAATGAAATCCCTTTCGAAAATCCTCTATGGCTAATACCTGAAACTGAAGTAATATTAGACCTGAACAAACTAAAACGTCAAGACACATCGCCTGAAATATATCAACAAAAGTTCCAGAAAATACTAGACCAATACTACGAAAGAATCGTTATTTATACTGATGGCTCCAGAACACAAACTGGTTCTGGATGTGCAATTATTACCAACGGGTCAGCTTTCCAATGGACTTTGAGACATGAAACCTCAGCTTTCTTCACAGACATTTTGCGATCTGGAAAACCTTATCCTATGTCATCGAGGAATATAATCATTCTAGAGTTTTAATTGTTTCTGACTCTTTAGAGATCATGTCTAAAATTAATGACATATTTGTGCATGATCCTCTGAAACAAAAAATTCAGACGCTTATTCGAGAGTGCAGCGAAAAGGGAAACAAACTCACGTTTGTATGGGTCCCAAGCCACACTAATATACTTGGCAACACAATGGCAGATGAAGCTGCTCAGCAAGCTGCTAGAAGACTAGAAGAGATACCATTGTTTTCCATTATATTAGTAAATATGATCTTAAAGTTCTACTGCATAAAAGAACAGAAAGGGAATGGCAGGATGAGTGGGCAGGTACACCTTCAAAGCTTTGCGCAATAAAACAGGATCCGTCAACCCCATCCTTACGTCTTGCACTAGGACGAGCGGATGAATCCAGAGTGCATCGTCTTTATATTGGGCATACTGCGGTTACTCATGCATATCTGCTTAACAGAGAAATACCTCCAATGTGTATAGTCTGTGATGTTGAGTTGACAGTAATTCACATTATATCTGAATGTCCTCAATATACGGTAGAAAGGAATAGATTCGATATACGTGGTGAAATTCGTGATAATTTAACCGAAGAAGAAAAAATTAAAAATATTTTGAAATTTATGAAAGATATTAATATATACCACCAACTGTGATACTCGTCTGTGATACTCAAATCCAACTGTGATACTATGATGTAAATAATTACCTATTTTTCTTATATTGTTTGTTTTTTGGTGTCTATTTTTTTTTGTATTTAGTTTTTTATCCTTTTGTCACTCAATTTGAAATGTATATGTCAATGTAGTTTTATAAATTTTTAATTGCCCTTGTAAGATTGAATCCATTGAGGATACTGAGATAGATCCCTGTAATTGCACTATTGTTAACAATAACGAGTTGTATATGGCTAATGATCCTGGTGATCGATGCCTAGGAAAAAAAAACTCTTACCCTCAAAATTTCATTCGAATCACTAAAAGCACTAGACTTTAACACCCTGTAGCGACGATACAAAGCAGAATCGGGCCTATGTTCTTATGAAAAATAAATCTTATTTTTTACGTGAGGAATCTCCCCACGAGAGATGGCACATGTTTTTTGAAACATCCTGTATACTAATCAATCATAATATTACGTTTTCGTCGGTTCCGTGTGGATAAAAAGTCTGATTTATTTAAACACAATTTATTTTACACTAAGTAACAAAACAATAACGATAAAACACTAAAAGAACTATTCACAAACTTATTTACAAACTTGTTTACAACTATTTATCTAAAAGGAATTTATTTTTAATATATTTATTTTTACAATAATTATTTTATAAAGATCTGTAAAAATGTATTTTGAAATTGGTACATAAACATATTTTTGGATCACAATTGAAACTATTAAACATTTTGATAATGGCTATTATGATCCAAATGATATAGTATTTAAAATACCCATATTTTTTTCAATCAATACCTACGATTTTTAATTATTTTATTTATCTAATGAAATTTTAATAAGTAGTATATTTTCTTTTACTGACGATGTTTAACAACATATCTGAAATTATTATTTTTTATGTCGGATTTTAATTTTGCGTTATTCAAGGAAAAAAATAATGGCAGAATTTGGTTAAATGAGGCATGTACTACAAAATATACACAGGGTCTCCCGATATTCCGTGTATATAGGACATATGACAGATAGAGCACGTGGACATACAATAACGACATATTTTTGGAATCAAAAATAAGTTCAATTTACCTCTATCACAGACTTTAAATTAGTATGTGCTCTATATATACAGGGTGGCCCATCGAAAACGTTCCGCAAGGCATAACGGCTAGGGTATTCTTTTTTTCAAAAAATCCAAAAACACGTCAATTTTGTTTGTGAGGGAGACAACTTTTGCCCCAAAAACGATTGCAAAATCTTCAACCCTCTAAGCGGGGGTGTCATCCCCTAATTTTTTTCTAATGGGAAGGGGGGTCAAGTGGCGCCGCAATGAAAAGAGCTTTCTATTCTCTATATTTACCCGCCTCGTTTTTGAAAATCGGTCGAGTCATACAGAAAATATGTAGGATTGAAATTTTAAAAGTTTATTTAAACATTTATCAGAGTTAATGATGAGGATAAATTCCTTCGACCAATTTGATTTTTTTTCCTTATTTCTAGATGTGTACGCATTTTTTCACTTGCCACAAGGTTCAATGATCAGGTGCGGTAGTTGCTAGATATATGTTCTGTGACTTTGAACTGTGACAACTGTGCGTTGAAGTTCTTCTCAATATCGTTAAACTGATCCACAATAGAATTTCCAAAAATACCAGTCCACACGTTCAATTTCTGAGGGTTTTGTGTGTGCACCACGTGAAAAACCCTGGGGTTGTCCTCAGCCCAGTACCGACAGTTGTGCCGATTAACTACATCGTTCAAAAAGAAAGTACACTCGTTCGAAAAACACACATTAAATAGGAAATTATTATCATTCGCCACTCGTTCACTCATAATTTCACAAAATTGCAAGCGACGATCAAAATTGTCTTCGTTGAGTTCTTGTACCAACTGAATTTTGTATGGGTGGAACTTGCGTTTTTTTATTATCCTTTGGACACTTGTACGATTCTCGCCGGTCTCATTGGCTAATTTTCCTATACTCAGCGTACTATCCATGGTATCTTGGCCCAATACGAATACCTCCATAGCTTCATTTACTACAGGATTTTCCCGCTGCCTCTTTTTATTCATAACGGAACCAGTTTCGCGAAATTTTGCTACTAACTCGCGAACAATTTTGCCATAAAGGTATTTGTCAGGATGGCGTTCATTGAATATCTGCGCAACCCGATTGCCACATTCATTATTTTTAAAATAAAGTTCGATAATAATAATTATTCCATAATAATTGTTAAAAAGTTTAACGATATTGAGAAGAACTTCAACGCATAAGTCACAGAACAGCTATCTAGCAACTACCGCACCTGATCGTTCAAAAAAAACAGCAAATTGGTCGAAGGAATTTACCCTTATCATTTACTCTGATAAATGTTTAAATAAACTTTTCAAATTTCAATCCTTCATATTTTCTCAATAACTCGACCGATTTTTAAAAACGAAGCCGGAAGTATAGAGAATAGAAAGCCCTTTTCATTGCAGTACGACTTGACCCCCATTTCCATTTGAAAAAAGTTGGGGGATGACACCCCCGCTCAGAGGGTTGAAGATTTGGCAATCGTTTTTGGGGCAAAAGTTGTCCCCCTCACAAACAAAATTGACGTGTTTATGGATTAAAAAAAAGAATACCTTAGCCGTTATGCCTTGCGGAACGTTTTCGATGGGCCACCCTGTATAAGAATTATTTATTTGTCCTAACAAAAAATACACTCCGTCCATTTTTAAAGGTTTTGCTTCAAATGGAGGTGGTTGGTATTTGTGGATCGGACGTACATTTTTTCAGAGAAGGAAGAATAGGTCCATTTGTTGTTGAGAAGCCAATGATAATCGGCCATGAAGGTTCTGGAACTGTAGTAGAATGTGGACCTGCGGTTAAAACATTAAAATCTGGTGACAGAGTAGCCATAGAGCCTCAAATCAGTTGCAGAATGTGTGATTATTGCAAAACAGGTGTATATCTATTTAATATTATTTGTTGAAATATCTTAATTCGCTCTATGCTTTTTTTATATTATAGAGCGTTGAAGTAACAAAAAAAAGTCTCTATAATATATGTATAATGAAAGACCAGACAAAACATTTTTTGGTTTACAACATTTTTTAATAGTAATGTTTAAAGGAACAGGGAGCAAATTTTTGCTCTGTTTGATTTAATCTTTATTTTTTTAAATGAAGAAAAGTGGGGATGGTTGTTTATATTTATTGGCTCATCTTGTGCATATTTCTGAACTTTTATTTGCACTAACTTACAGAATCTATACTATGTTATGTAGTAAAAAAGAAATTTTCGAATTTTGTATGTATATTTTTTTATTACAGTTGAGGGTTGGAACCTTTGGTGTTACACAGCAAAATAAAAACACTAAATCACCACAATACACCAAAACACTTTTACTTTTACACTGGACGCGAGTTTCGTTAACCATGTTAGCATCATCAGCAGATGATTATAAACTAAGTATATATAAAATGATTGTGAAAATATAAATCTGATTATAAAAATAAGTTTATAATCATCTGCTGATGATGCTAACATGGTTAGCGAAACGCGCGTCAGTAAAAGCAAAAGTGTTTTGGAGTATTGTGGTGATTTAGTGTTTTTATTTTGTTATATTTTTTTCCAAATTTCGATACAGTTTTAGAGAAAATTAAGAAAAACATGAAAATATGGTTGAATTTTTTCCTAAAAAGGAAAGTCCAAAAAATCAAAAAGCCGTTTCTATGGTAATATCAATTCGATTTCATTCTTTGATAGATGGTTATTATTAATTTTGATTAATGTCATCTTAAAGTATCATATTTTCCGATAACTATCAGCATCCTTTCCGTAAAATTGAACTAAATTGTGGTTTTTAACATCTTAAAACAACAAAAGACATTAAGCTCATTAAAATTCTATGAATAACAATCTATCAAAGAATGAAAACGAAGTAATATTACCATAGAAACGCGTTTTGATCACCTTTGATTTTTAGGACTTTCGGGATCTTCATAGGAAAATTCAACCATATTTACATGTTTGTCTTAATTTTCTGTAAAACGACATGGAAATCTGGAAAAGTATAAATGGGATTAACCATTTAGAACAAGCAAACATTTTTATGAAGAATTCATTTTTCTCAAAATGTCAATAATAAAAAGTTTTCCTCTTGTAAAGACAATCCGGGGACATACTGTAGAATATTTTTTCTAGTAGATTTACATTTAATTACTACAGCTTATTTAGTACCAACTCTGTTCCAATCTTTAGTCTCAATTGTTTTTTTAACTCAGCTTCAATTGAGGTCATAACCCGACTGTTAGGGCACAAAAATAGTGAGGCATCTTGATGCGATGCTCGCCAAGATGCTGGCCGCGCTGGCTCGCTAGGATGGTAGTCGCGATGCATCCTACGCGCACTATTTTAAAACGGCGAATAGGTGCGCGTAGGCATACTGAAGCATTTACCATCGCCGTTTTATTAAACACCAGTTTATATAAAGTAGTTATTAATTAATTAGTATAGGCCCATGTTGCATTTCAGTTGATTTCAACAAATTCCGACCACAACGGCAAAAATCAGATTATCCCTACCTATTTCACGTCGCCGCGCCGCACAGTGGTTCAGATTGCCAAAAGTGGCGCATAGGATATTTTTAATTTTATTACAAATTCTACACTTATTAGGTTTAATGGCGGATTTATTAACATGACAAAGATAGTCCAAGGAATAAACAAAATATATTTCAGACTATGTTTGTTTAGTATAAAAATATTAAAAAGGGGGATTTTCTATGAATTTTATTCAAAAATTATAGTTTTTTAAAAGGTTTGAAAAATGCTTTGAACCTAGTCAAAAAAAAGAATACTCATTAGGTTATCTGGTCTAAATTAAAGAAAAAAACATAAATTGCAATATGCGTTAAATGGAGTCTTCAAACTCATTTTCTTCATGACATGATTCACCACCACTTTCTTCTAGTTCTTCTTCACTATCTGATTGACAATAATATTCTGTTGCCATATGAATGTCATCTGCGGGTAAATCACCTATTTTTAGTGGCGACTACTTTCTCTGGGAATTCAAACCCTAGTTGGACTGCTTTTCCCGTCTTATTGTTATGTTCCTTCCTTAAATTAGAAACGAGATTCCGAGGTGTAAGAATCTCTAATTTCTAGAAATAAATTGATTTTTAATCTTTGCCATTAATTAAAAGCATTAGTGCAATATTTGCAGCATTATGTAGATAAAAAACATGTTTTTTTTTCTGTAAGACATTATAAATTAATTCCTTGGCAATATATACCCTTGGTCTCTTTATTTTTTGGGACTTGGACAATTCTGAAAAAAAATTCTTCTTGAAGGGCCAGGGTCATCAAAAGATTGATTCTCTTCCATTTGAAGTAATTTTTTTATTCAGCCAGAGACAATAGTTGGAAATAAAACTGCTCCAAGTATAACTACATTTCCTCCACTTTTCTGACCATTTATAAACAAAATTTTCAATTTGCTTATTTTTCGATAATATGTTAGGAATATTATTATCACACAAAAATGAAATAATTTCATCAATAATATCCGCTTCTGACCTATTATTAAAACCCATTTTCAAAAACCGCTCACATATTGATCTGCGGCTTATTGTTCCTATAATAAAAGGAATAGAGTACAGGAGGAACATGTGAGTCTCTGTAGTTACACTTTTACCACTCCAGAGTTACTCAAAAATATTAGTAAAATAATTTAAGAAATTATCCATGGAACAAAAATCAGACTACTGGTCAATTTAAAATTTTAATTTATATATCATCTACCTCGGGGTCTCTTGGGGTAAGATACTTGTGGTAAATTAAACTTGGTATAATACCGTTTAAAAATTATAAAATACAGAAGCGGAGATCTGCGGAGTTCTAAAGATATGCAATTTCAAAGTTTAATTTTTTTCAAAGAACGCTCTGCTATGTTTGTGGTAACTACTAGCTTCATAAAAAATATTTAAGTTAATAAAATTCTCTTAAAAAAGTACTTACATTGATCTTTAAAATTCATTATAATTTAATTTATTTCCAAGTCTCTGAACTAATAACCAAAATGTATTAGTAACACCCTTGTTTATACATAATCAAGGGTAACACTAAACCATTATCAGCAAATAAATGATATATTTAAACTACAAAACCTAACGAAAACAACATTCCTGTACGCTTTTTATTACGATTAAAAAGTGGATCGTGATAAATTTGAATAAATGGACCCATCATCTGTTGAAAATAATATCATTGTTGAAATTTTCGAAATTTTTTCTTGATCCCCATGCGTCGATTTTATTGAATCTGAACCAATGTGCGCCGTCATGTTGATCGCATAGAATATTGAAATCATGGTTTGGTTATAATATTTAAGTATTTTAGTTTTTGCTAGTGTAGTTATTGAGACAAAAAGAGATAAAACACTCAGGTTTGTGTGATGTAACGCTGTTTCGGGTAATAAAATAAATGAAAAAGAATTCGAACTAGGCGTCGTGCTGTGTTGTGACAATTTCAAATGTTAATAAAATTGCCGAAAAATGTTAACGCGTGAAGGAGAGCTAAAGTAAAGGGCATTGTTGGATGCAATACGTAAATTCAATAACTCAACTTTCCCCGATATTCAACTCTCCCGAAACAAAATTTTATAGCTTCATAGTTTCTCACACCGATTTGATCAAAAGCAAACATGGATTCAAGCATTTCGACGAAACAAGTGAATAAACAAAGTGCTAGTTACATCATCAAAAAATTAAAATAACATATACTAGGAGAGGATAAAATATAATTTGCAATATTAATGGTATACTTTTTTTTTAATCAACTAGCAATTAAAGTACTTGCTATAAATAAATAAAGTCCATAAACTAATTTCGATTTTGAAAATAGCTACTGTCACTAGAAACTTGCCATGACGACATCAGCCCTCTTTGTTGCCATTTTATTGAAAAAATGCTCTTTATTCAAAATCTGAGCTAGATAGGTATAGGATACCCTAATAATAGTTCGAAAGAGCACTGTTTCGATTTATTTTAAAAAATACAGGTTGTCGTATTTGAAATAACAAGGATTTTATGTAAAATAAATATTTAAAATAAATCATCAATACCTCTGGTACCCCTGTATAAATTTAAGGGAGCAATACAATTTTTCAGTAAAGTTTATTTCTCTATCTTTAAATTCAGCACAATAATTAATTCTAAAAAGTAATGCACATGGTGTTGATAATATATTCCATTGTCGCATGCATATTTAAATATCTTTAAATATCTCAAAAACCAAAGCTTGTAAACATATTAATATATAATAACCCTTTTAATAAAGGCCTTATTTTGTGCCCAAGGATCCAAATATGAAATAAAATACCGGTTGTTCCATAAGAAAAAATATAACTTGGGTGTAAATCTTAGTTCTGACATACCCTGTACATTTCAAAATAATTTTAAATTATACACATGGTCTTCCCACATATATGCCCATAAAATATTTTGTTTCTACATGTTTCCGTTTTCGTATAATCAACCGAGGCGAATGAGTTGCGCCACTCTGTATATAGGTGTTCCATTTAAAAAAATATTCGCGATCCACTCACACTTTTTTGAGCCACCCTTTAGAAGTTCAAATATTTTCCTCAAATACATCCGAATACATACTTTATGTCTGGACTACAAAATTCATAAGTTTTTATTATAGGAGCTGCAGATGCCCGACGCACTATTGCCGGACCCTGTAGAATCAAGTTGATTACAATGTTGGTGATAAATTAAATACTAGTATTGTGAATATTTTATTCCACCCGAATCTACTTCGACATATGCTCAACGAATTGTGATCCTAAACCGATCAATCAAATGTAAAGTTTCAGACATCCGCGTCCGTTTTTCGCAAAAAACAAAAATTTTGTTTTTAGGAAGCATCGCGCTGAACATATAGGTGCGTGGCGAGGTGCGAGGCTCCAGTATGTTTTGACGCATAAATTTGTACATGTTTGATTCAGCATCGCCGGATGGCGAGGTGAATGGCGCGCATCGCGTCGAGATGAAATGCCCCGCACTATGTTTGTACGATAGTCGCGATGCATCCTACGCTCACTTACTCGCCGTTTTAAAACAGTGCGCGTAGGATGCATCGCGGCTACCATCCTGGCGAGCAGCGCGGCCAGCATCTTGGCGAGCATCGCATCGAGATGCCTTACTATGTTTGTGCCCTTAGATATCATAAGACTGATTTTAGGGAATAACCAAGTAAGCTCGCATATTTTCATGTAAATGATCGGCAGCTTGGTTATGTATAAGCTGTGCTTTTTATGAAACAGAATCAAAATAGGAAAATGATATTTGTTTTAGGAAATTACCATTTATGTCAAGGCCTTTATTTCTGTGCTGCACCTCCAGACGATGGCAACTTGAGTAGGTATTACGCCCACGATTCCGATTTTTGCTTCAAACTTCCAGATAACCTGGACTTTGAACACGCTACTCTAATGGAACCATTAGCCGTAGGGGTACACGCTTGTAAACGCGGTGGAGTAACTAGTGGAGACTCGGTTTTAGTACTGGGATCTGGCCCTATAGGTTTAGTATCCATTTTAGCCGCTAGAGCCTACGGAGCATCCAAAATCGTCGTCACCGATGTCGACGATTTCAAGCTTAAAAAGGCGCACGAAGTTGGTGTAGACTGTACTTGTAACATCAAGGGTCTTAATGTAGACGAAGCTTTAGAGTGTATAAAAAGTATCCTACCTGAACATCCACGCGTTACTATAGATTGTTGCGGGTTGGAAGATGCAGTGAAAGTCGGTATGAAGGCAACGAAAAGTGGAGGAAAATTAGTTCTTGTTGGAATGGGTACAGATAAAATGGCTTTACCGATTACCGAATGCATTTTCAGAGAAGTTGATTTATTGGGTGTGTTCAGATACGTTAATGATTATCCTACTGCAATTGATATGGTTAGTTCTGGAAAAATAGATCCGAAACCGCTTATCACTCATCATTTTAAATTTGAGGATTCTGTTAAGGCTTTTGAAACAGCGAAAAACAAAACGGAAGATTATATTAAGATTATGATACACCCGAATCCGAAATGGAAACCAAAATGATAATAAATGTCGAACACTTTTTTGCTATTGTGATTTGTAAATGTTTACCACGCAACAACGTGTTTAATTATATTTGGTGACAATTAAACGTTGTTTTATTCTGACTGATTTCTTAAGGTGGGTATACACATGCGAGCCGAGCGGTTCGCGAACCTCTTGTGAACCTATAATTCGCAAATGTGTACGTTGTTTTGAGCAACGAACGAACGGCTCGCAAACCGGTCGCGGCGATCCGCCTCCTGTCGGTTTTTTTGACGAACACAAAGGGATTCGTGGCTCTCGGTGGACGGGCTCATGTGTTGTTCGTTGTTTGTATCGAACCTCCAGACAATCCAGACGCACTGTTTTCAATTTTTAGTTTTTGTTTACCGGTTGGAAGAGGTATAGAGGTTTATTTAAATATGGAGTGGTCCGAGGAAATCATTTTAGTTTTAATTGATCTCTGTAGAAAAAAAAAACATTATTATGGGATCCAAAACATAAAGAACATTATAAAAAGAGTTTAAAGGAGGACGTTTGGAGGGAAATAGGTGTCGAACTGAAAAAAGATGCAGACCAATGTAAGAAGAAATTGATTTCTTTATTAGCATCCTATTATATTAACCAAACCAAACCACCAACGTCGCTGCCTCCTTTTCTTGTCTAAACTAGCTATCATTAAAAATGCACCACTCATCACCAACAGAGCATAATTCTCTTCTCGCGAAGACTAATTAACGAAGATAATTAAACGCGTACTCGCACAGTCGCGTCGCATCGAAAAAATGACTGTATGTCTTTGGTTGGTTTGCGGCATTCGCGCTTTTCCCTTGGATCGTTGAAGGTTCGTACAAAAACGATTTACTAACGAGCGGTTCACGTTCGCATGTGTATACCCACCTCTAAATTATGCGGTTCAATGTTTTCTTGTTTCCTCAAATAATCTTCGTTGAATAACATCACCGTTCTTTAAATCTTTTAAATCTTCTCAATCTTATATTTAATACCCAATTTTCACAGCCAAAAATCAACGTCTGTATACACATATCTTCACTTACCCTAGAATTTTCTAGAATTTTTAATAAATCTACATATTATAAATGTCGCCATAGTTGGAGGACAGACTTTGTAAACGTGTAAAATAATTTACTAATTTTTTGTAATAAAAAGTTTTGTGTGATCCTAGATCAACATTCGGAAAAATATGCATTGTAAATTGCACAATAAATGACGTTAAAATAATTAACTCGTTCTATGGAATTCGATTTACCTATTATTTGTTTCATAAACGATTGCTAATAATATAATATTGTTTTATATACATAATAAAAATTAAAGCATTCGAAATAAAGTGAATACTATCTTATCGGATATCTAATATTTAGTCTTTTTAAAGTAATTATTACCTTATATGTTTTAAAAGAACCACGTTCAAAATAAACTGGCATTTCCTTATTGTTTTATATTAGTTCAGTAATATTATGGCTCAAATTGCGATATATCCGACAAAATTCATAAAGTTTGCAAAATTGGTGGAAATAATCAGGACATCATATGTATTAATAAACTGAAAAATTCTCACCCCTAAATAGTGTGCGTCATCCCCCAGGACAACGTTTCTACCCCCATTTTGAGTTTTTTTAGATAATCTCGGCAACGGTGCAATTCTCGACAAAAATACGTATATAGGAAATTGTTCTTCATAAAATTCTCTATCAAAAAGATAATTACACTTTTTTTCTAAAGTTAATAATAAAGTGGCAAATAGGGCGCAAATATAAGGGTTGGTTATGACTAGCACTATCTGCAGTTCAATCTAATTTAAAGTTTAATGTTTAACACTAACAAAAAGCAGTAACCACTAAATTATACTTAGAATTTTAATATACGTTCTTCTCTCACACTCCTCTACCCCTATAAAAAGGGTGATTTGTACTTATTTCCACATCACCCTAGAGGTAAAGTATTTGATGCGTTTTTTGTTAAAGTGGTATCCCTTGGAGGCCTAATCCACTAATTATTTATCAAATGTTAAAGATGGCATTTTATTTAAAAGTTTAAAAGTGTGTCGTGCCAGTCGTGTGAAGCCGATATCTAGTTTGAGCATTACAATGAAAATTAATGGCAATGACGTTCAAGTTGACTCGACATTACTATTTCAAAGAATTATTTGCACCGTTCATTCTAGCCTGGAGTTAAAAAAGTGCTTTAGTTTCGAATTAGCTTCAGTACCTTTTTTTCTTTCGATGCGAAAGGCCTAATGAGGAAAACTAATAAAGCAGCTTTATACCAGATTGTCAATAAAGTTCTAGAACGAGACCATATTTTTGAAAACAGCGAGTATATGTCATTGATGGAGGATATTTGCTTCGCCGCGTAATATGGTCAAAAAAAGGGACATTTAACATTGTTTACAACGCTTACGTTAGTTACATTAAAAACATTATGGGAATATAGTAACTGTCGTGTTCGATGGTTATATGGAAAATGCAAACAGCACGAAGAGCCTAGAACGACAGAGGCTACTTCAAAGAAGCTGTCCTCAAGTTATGTTTGACGAGAATACTGTTGTCTCTGAAACTCAGCAGAACTTCCTAAGTAATTTGTTTAACAAAGAACGTTTAATCACAGAACTAGCAAACAAATTTAGGAAATAAGGTATAGAAGTATTTGTTGCTGCGGATGACGCCGATTTATTAATAATTCAAACTGCTATAGAAGAATCTTAAAATTGCGATACAACTGTTATAGTAGGGCAAGATATTGACCTGCTAGTTCTTCTAAACGCATCAAATACTTTACCTCTAGGGTGATGTGGAAATAAGTAAAAATCACCCTTTTTATAGGGGTAGAGGAGTGTGAGAGAAGAACGTATATTAAAATTTTAAGTATAATTTAATGGTTACTGCTTTTTGTTAGCGTTAAATATTAAACTTTAAATTAGATTGAACTGCAGATAGTGCTAGTCATAACCAACCCTTATATTTGCGCCCTATTTGCTAGTTTATTATTAACTTTAGAAAAAAAGTGTAATTATCTTTTTGATAGAGAATTTTATGAAGAACAATTTTCTATATAGTTATTTTTGTCGAGAACTGCACCGTTGCCGAGATTATCTAAAAAAATTCAAAATGGGGGTAGAAACGATGTCCTGGGGGATGACGCACACTATTTAGGGGTGGGAACTTTTCGGTTTAGTAATCCTCATGCTATCCCCAACATACCTGCTAATTTTCAAAACTTTCTGAATTTTGTCGGGTTTAAATCGTAATATTACTGGATTATATGTACGAGTATATGCATTAAGTCAATAGATGTCTTATTAATTCAATTATGACCATTAATGAGGCCAAAATATGTTTGATTTTATTTGATTCGTTAGCATTTTTTTTTTGATTTTACAATGTTTTTTGTTTTTTCTCTCAGTGAAGTTCTTTTGTGAAAATTTACACAAACCTACGCTAAAAATAATTTATCTTAAATTTTTGTTTCTAGTTTTTAGCAGAACCAGCAGATTTAATTCGTAAACTCAGTTTTTTATAAACTTTAGTACTGATGGGCTTTATCACACAGGGTTTATCGAAGGGTTATTTTTTAGCCTAACTTTAAAACACTCTGCGCAATAATTTCGTTAGCAAATTTTCCTAAAACATGATCTTGATTATTACTCAGTATTAACTTCATTAATTTTTAAGAGCGTAATGAACTTGCCATGAACAATTTGCAATTTTTTCAATTTTCATTACTTTTTGATGATGTTTTTCGATATGACGAAGTGGCTTTGTGACTATTGTCGTAATGTCATATTACGCTGTATTGAATTTTCTATACTAAATTAAAAAATTTAAAGAGCAACGATACACTCCTGGTTTTAATAAACATTAATAACGATAACAGAACTAACCATATTAAAGAAATCATCCCTAATAATCAAATATATAAAAAAAGTTTTTGTAAAATACCCTAAAACTTTAAATTGCTTCCCTTGGCTGCCATAACTGCCCGTAGGTGTCCGTTCATACTGTTAATGATGCTGCATATATCATATTGCGTTCTGTTTTCCCATTCTTCTTTAAAAACCAAGCGAAGTTCATTTAATGAAGCTGGAGTCTCCGTTTTGCGACCACTAACCCTCCTGCTAAGGATTTCCCGAACATACTGGGCAGTTCATAGTAGTATATAGTAGAATAATCACCAAAGCCACCTCGTCATATTGAAAAATAAAAAAAATTGTAAAATGTTCTTGTCAAGTTCATATTACGCTCTTAAAAATTAACAAAGACATGTGTTAACATATCCAAAAAACAAAATGCTCATGAGACATGGGGTTCTGTATACAGGGTGGTCTGAACTGTATTCCGAAAACTTCGCCAGCATATTCTGCAGATAAAAATATGTAAAAAATTTCGTATGTCCTAAAATGGGTTTAGTTTCGGAGATACAGGGTGTAGAAATTTAATTTTTATTTCGATTTTTACCAAATAATTTCTGAAGTAACGTCAATATTTGGATGAAAATTAGTGCCTTGGAATTATTTGACATGAGAAATTTGATTTTGAATATCAATATGACTCCTATTTGTAGGGGTCGCCACCTACATGTATTTTAACTGTTTTGAAAAGTAATAGCTTTTCGTCCGTACCTGTATAAAGCGACTGGGTGAAAAAATATACAATTTCGTGATTTGTTACGTAAAAAATATCTCTTGGTAAAAATCGCTGTGAGCAACCGTTCTCAAGATATTTAGAATTGAAATAGTCAATACATCTCATTATTGACAAAAAATAAACATGTTAAGTAGATAATAAATTTGGGAACTTTTTATTTTTTTAAATTGATCTAAAATTTTCTTTTTTAAAAAAAAATGATGATGAGACAGTTTTTGCTGAACTTTTGGCACACTAAACATTCCAAATTTATTGCTTCAGTCTAATAACTATTTAATCAACATGTTTAATAATGACAGCTATTGATAATTTCGATTTTTACCAAGAGACCTTAAATCACCACAATACACCAAAACACTTTTACTTTTACACTGGACGCGCGTTTCGCTAACCATGTTAGCATCATCAGCAGATGATTATAAACTGAATCAGTTTATAATCA